TTATAGAGTTTAAAATGCTCCCTTCCGATAAGTTCGTCAGTTGCATGACGAGTTGAAAACAGAGGTTTTGGTCTTCGCTTTTTTTTTAAGCAGTAAAAGTCAATTAAACTTCGATTTATTCCTCACTAAGCAGGAAATAGTTGCACAAACAGTAGCAAATTGTGGCGAGATCTTTGTCTACATCAGGATTTGTAATGACCTAGTAAATAAATCAGAATTTTAATAAACCTACAAGGCTGATTAATCAGTCTAAATGTTCTTTTTGACAGTTCTTTGATTTCGTCACAAGTATTGCTTAGACCATAGTAGAATTCTACTTGAACGCTAATGCAAATGCTGCAATATGATTGGCTGAATTATCGTAGGCTGTCAGCCATGAGTGTGCAGTGGCTGGATGTCGTCTACGAAATGGAGACATTTTTTTTTTGTTTCTTTTTTTTGTTTTTGTTTTCGTTTTTCCAAAGTTTTGGAGGAATATTTTGATGCAAATGGATAATTAAATTCCTGACATGACTGAAAGAAGGACATTTACAGTTTCTCGACTATAAAAATGCCTGGAATCGTTGAAAAAATGATACGCGCGCGCACAGAAATGACAATCCAATCCGAGCGATTTTTCTCTCCTAAGGCTCGAAGTTTAATATAATACGTCGAGAAATAATTGGAAACCGTTATTTGAAGTAAATTTCAGATAGACTTGTACTAAAATATTTTCGATCTTCTATCATGTACATTATAGAAATCTCGAGCTTATAATCGAATTGTTAATTAGGAGTTAGGAAAACTAATGGAACATCGAGCTAAAACTGGTTGCTACTACTGTATGCCCATAAAACCATACATTCATCTCTGATAAAACAGATTGGGGGACATTTCATAAAACAGCGACTGTTGGGAATAAATTAAAATGATTCGCATCATCGATTAACCAATGATGGTGCAATAGCTTGTAAAATCACTGTAGCTGGCAATGATTGAATCTAATTTTAGTTTCTATCGACGTGGTATTTACACTTTTCATTCAGACGACGTGTGGTTCTTGTGCCGTAGCATTAGTTTTCTTTATTGAATTGTACATTCACTACCTGTTTTGTCTGATGCAATGACAGTGCAATCGATAGTGTAGGTATATTTGTAATTGTTTCTTGAATGAACTACACTGAAGTGCAGCTCTGTGAGTTCTTGGTCTGCCCGAATTCCAGTTGCATCAGGTCCCCGGTATCTAGAAATAAGTTACGGATTTCTACACTCAAGCAAGTCAAACGAGTTGCTCGGAGTTACATGTTATTTTACTCGAGTTGTGTAAATTAACTCTTGTCAAGTCCCGTTATCATTTTCCTTCCAAACAAAGTTGCTGTGTACTGCCGTGGTGCCATTTTACCTGTTTTCATTGCTTTCTTTCGGAACAGAAGGGCTTGGGAAATCAGCTGATAAGCTGTGATCCATCTATCTTTTAAAGAAAAATTGATTTTGTGTTCCGTTATCCCAGACGGAATTTACTGCAAAATCACAATATATTATGCAGGCCTAAACCGCTGAGGGTTATCCTTGTAGTCGCTTGGAACCAAAACTTCCGCTTAGCGTGTTCTGAACAATCAATGTCATTTATGCACCCTTGTACGTACGCATGACAGATCGCACTTGTTATTTGAACCCGTTTGATTGACAGTTCCTTCCGCTCTCGGAAATTTCGATATATATTCCGCTTGAAAGTGAGGCTAAGGAAATTTGTGAGTGAGTGTTATACAGAATTGCTCGCGTCCACATCCCCAGATACGCTATACCTTCTTGTCATTTGGAGCATCAACCTGACCATTGACAGAGACAGATTCGCTGCATTACGCTAACCAAGTTTTCAAGAATGTTGAGGAATCTGAGAAGTCCAGCTGCAGGCGACGACGTCGAACTGGTCGACGATGGGGATTCAGTGGGCATAAAATACCGACTTCGACGTCATTGTAGCAAATGTCGCCTGTTTGTTCTTGCTCTTGTACTTCTCTCCCTGGCTGGTGTTATATTTGCCGTTGTTTTTATTGTTACTAAGAAGTCCAGCTCTGAAGGTATGTGACTTTGGAAATTTAATGATCTGTGGAAACACCGGTGCATGAAACATCAAAAGAAAATTCAATGCTATGTGCACTTGCCGGGATATCTATTAGGGCCCACACCACCTTCTTAAGCTAGCGGTTTACTATATCTGGTCCTTAATGCAAATGGTAAAGCCAAATCATTCGTAAATTGAAGAGCGAGAGAGACAGGGAAGCCTCGAGGTATGCTGTTCAAACATCCAGGCTTCCTTGACATTTTAATTGACCATTGTTTGATTCAAAAAATGGAATCCAGTCATTTCACTCTAAACGCTGTCGGTGGCACA